CCAGGGAGTGGCTGGTGGGTTTGAACCGCCAGCCTTCTGGTTAGCAGTCAAATGCCTTAGGTACTATGCCACCAGAGCCCCCAAATAAGACATAATGGCAGAAAAATTCAGTGAGAGAATGGCAAATAGTCCAATGTGGCTAGAAAATTAAATTTCTAAAAGGTTAAGTTGTCATAAAACTTGTATTTAAGAAAATAATAGGGACAGAATACATATATACTCTCAGTGTGCTAGCTGGTATCATTTGGTCACCCACTGCAGGGTACTGTGAGATACAAAGATGAATAAGCAAGATCCCTGCCCTCAAGGAACTCACAGTCTAGCTGGGGAGACAGTTATGAGTACACCAAGTTGTAATATGTCAGACCGAGATAAATAGTATAATGAAGGCATAATCAAAGCACTATATTATAATCTAGAATCAAACAGAACCTCAGAGATCATTTTTATTTTAAACCAAACCAAACTCACTGCCGTTGAGTCATTTCCGACTCATAGCGACCCCTCCTTGGGCTTCCAAGGCGATATCTATATGGAAGTACGTTGCCCAGTCTTCCTTCTGAGGAGTGGCTGTTGGGTTTGAACCACCAGCCTTCTGGTTAGCAGTCAAACACCTTAGGCACTGTGCCACCCGAGCTCATCTTTATGCCGCTCAGATTAGCATTGACATTTTCTGTCTTTGCTTAGGTCTTCTATATTCTGTTGTTTGCCTTTGTTTATAACCCCACATTTGAATTTATATTTTGAATCTGTCCAGTAAATAGATTTGTTTTTATAGAGAAAGGTACCACAGACTTCTCCCATCCAAAATCTAATGGATATCTTTGCCCTAAAATCTGTTATTATTCTGAAAATTCTTGTCTCAGCTGATGATAGCACATTTACCCAGTAGCCCAGGCTAAATATCTACAAGTCATCCTCAATTTATACCTCTCTTTTCTCCCCTCATCTCTCTCTGCATCTTAATCTGTCAAAGAGTACTGAGGAATCTTAAACTGAAGTATCTTTTAAATACATTCTCTCATCCCACCTCTACTACTGCAACTTTATACTCCTTTGAATTATTTTATTGGCTTCTCCGTTTCTAGTTATCACTTGATAATCCACTCTTCCCAGCATTACCAGAATTATGTTTTTTAAATAACTACCTTATTTCAAAAAATCCCAATAGGTGCACATTTTTATCCTGATGAAGCCAAACTCCTTAGCAAATCATGTGTACTTTTTTATGTATCTTTCCTTTTCCACCACCCTGGAATATGTTGTTTATCAGTGAGTAGTTCAGAAGTATGGTGTTAGTTTTTTATAACCCCTAAAATGCTTGGTGACCTAAGTTCTCTGTTTTGTATTAGTGAACTACAGATGACTGTGAAATGAATTAGTAACTCAGAAAATTCTAACAGCTGTGTATTCCAGGAAGAATTCTGGTGTTTAAGTCAACAACAACAACAGCAAGAAATAAATGTGTCTAAGTACATTTTATGATCTTTTAACTTCATCATTCCCAAGTCTCTCTAGATAACTGCAGTCTGTAGTGAGAGAAGAGCATTCTTTCTTATGCTTTGTTAGAGCCCTCAGTAATATAAAGCTAAGAAACAGTAACAATCTTTACCAGGAAGCCATGATTAACATGCATATTGGGGCCCTTTTGGGGTATGGAATTTATGGGGAATGCTGTGATAATGTACTTCTTAGTGTGTTTACTAGGGCTGTGCACTTTGAATGCATGGTTTTGAAGATTTTGCTCTATAGAAATACAGCTCCCAGAAATCTCTTGATCTGCTTCTAACTCCTCCTTAGTGGTTTTAAGGACCCCCCCCCTTCCATTGTACCATTTTTTTAGAGATGAAGATAGTATGCATGTTTCCTCAAACCATTGTGATGTGCTGTCACTCTCAGTGGTGTGCAGTATCAGAACAATTAAGAATTTTCCTAAGCATGGGATAGTGCAAGGGTCAGCAAACTACTGTGGCTGCCTTTTTTTTTTTTTTTTTTTGTATGGCTCGAGAGCTAATGTTTTTTGCATTATTAAATAGTTTAAAAGAATCAAAAGAAGAGTATTTTTAATAACATGAAATTCACATGTCAGTGTCCTTAAATAAAGTTTTTTTGGAACCCACCCACACTCATTAGTTTATGTATTGTCTGTGGCAGTGTTGAGTTAGTTGCAATAAAGCCGAAGGATTTACTATCTGGCCCTTTACAGAGAAAGTTTACCTACTTCCGATGTAGTATGTGATATGCTGGAAAAAGAGAATAAACCTAACCAGTGAGAAATGATGCCACAAAAGCAAATAGCGTATCAGAGTAGTCATTGATACAAGAGGAGAGCCATGAAACTGTGTTCTGTTGACTTAAAGAAATGGGTGACAAGCGTGACAGCAGACAGAATTTAGTAGTGGCTACTACTAACCTAAAGTTTGGTGGTTTGAACCCATCCAGAGGAAAATGGCTTTATTAAAGAATCAGTATGGAGACAAAAGTTTCTGATCTGTCATTTAAAAATAAACTTGTATTTCTTCATGTTATATAGTAAAGTAATGTTAAAGACTATAGGTACAAGCTCCTTTCTACTTAAACTATCTAATAGGATAGCTGTAGTCATTTCCACATTGCTAGAAGCAATTTTAAAAGTCTCTTCTGTCCCTTCCCTTCAAAAAGTGATGAATAGTATCAGAAGATGGGATTAAAAAAGCCATTTTTTCCTTTTCCTTCTGTAGTATTGGATGGGTGGCTGTTGCTAAGAAGTTATCATAATTTTGCCCCTTGTTAGCTTTATATGGACATTCTTACAGCACAGTACTTTTATCATTATAGGGTACAATTCTCACTTTATCCACTTTAATATACTCTGTTACCTCTCTGAATTGAACATTATTCAAAACAAAATTCTACATACTATCACAGAATCCGTGTATATTTAGAGAGCCCTTGAAATTGATTCTGTTCCTATGGAGCAGTTCTACTCTACACACATAGGGTTGTCTTGAGTCACAGTTGATTCCATGGCAACTACCAACAACAATTCTGTAACATAGGGTTTTATAAGTCAGTGATGTATATGAATCCAGTTCTCTGTTTGCTGATCACTTGTCTTCCCATCTGGTCTTCAAAAATATCCTTTCAAGCTAGATAATAAGTAGTGAGTTTGGTTTTGGTTTGGTAATGTTTGTTATCACTGATAACACCGTCTTATATACGTAAAAGAGTTTATCTTTGTGGTCTGTACCTCTTGTGCACCTCTTTATGTCTCCCTTGTCCTTAGCGTTACTGTGTTGGTCACAGGCTTTTGGTATATTGCGTTTCCCTTCACCCAAATCAGTATTTGCCTCTACCTGTCTAGCAGTGTTCCTTTGCCTCCCCTCCTATACCTGGTAACCAACAAAGTTTTCTTCCATATATAAACCTTTCTTTGACTTTTTACAATAATGAACTAATACAATATTTGTCAGAAGTCTTTCATATTTCTACAAACAAAAAGAATTATAATCTGAATAATGATATTAGATTGTTACCTAGTTAAATAACTATAGGAGTATGCCTAACAATTTATAATTCACCTTTTTTCTATTATTACTGTTGACAACAAAGATATAGAGCATATGAAAATCATATTTGTGGTTAACAGTAGCTGGGAAAGAAATCTTAATACTCAAAATAATGTCAGTTTTCTAGAACACTGGGCCAAAATCTAGAAGTTAGAATTTCACTGGGCAAATTAATACTTTACATTTAATTCTTTAATGCATTTAAAAAGTATAGTAGGAGGATGCAGGCTTGACAAAATTCATGAAGAAAAAGATACACATAGGTTATTTATTAGCCCAATATAAAATATGGAAAGCCTATAAATTTTTTTAAAAAGCAGTATTCTGTTGTATCAAGGTAAACAAAACAATAATTATGTAACACTTGATAATACTATACTTGGCGTACTTGTTTCAGATTTGGTTGGCACATTTCAGGGCAGTTCTGATGAGCCATATTAGCGAAAGGGTCAAGAAACCTTATGAGGAATGATGAATAATTGAGAAAGGGAAGAGGAGGTGGCACTTAACAGATTCATGATTGCTGTGGAAGAGTGAGTGCATCTATTCTGTACTACTCTGCAAAGGATCCAGAACTACAGCCCTTCAGTTGAATTTATAGAAAATCAGGTTTTGGCTAATAATGAAAACCTTAAAATTATATTCCTCCAGTAATGGAACAGACTACCTCACAATTAGAAAGAAGGCATATTGACATTTGCCATTAAGTTAAAAAAATATGATTTATAAGTTGCCTTCCAGCCTAAGAAATCATTGGGTATTTATTAGTGGTTACTATCACAACTTAATGCTTTGTCTCATGAATATTTTATTGCATACTTACTTTGTGGCAAGTTCCATACTAAGCAATGATGTGTATTACATATTTTAATTCTCACAGTAGCCCTTTGAAGTAGATGTGTTCCCATGTCACAGATAAGGAAAATGAGACTTAATGAGGTTAAATAAATTGCTCAAGATCATGTGTCCAGTAAGCTGCAGAGCTACTTGTGGGATTGAAGCCCACATCTCTCTTAATTCCAGAGCTCATACCCTTGATCAATATACTATACTGATTCTTCTGTTTGACTTGCTTGTTTATTTAGTGTAGTATATTGAGTTAATGCTTGTTGTATCTGTCTTTATAGGAAAATTAGATATTTTAGTTGGTTTTGTAGTTGAAATGAGATCATATGAATAACAATTCCAACTTTTATAATTTTGGAAAGTGATAGTGTTCTTTAGAGTAAATGAGTGGCAATAAAATTCATTTTATTAGGAATTCTGGTAACCCGATTTCTATTAAAAAAAGCATGTGGTTTTTAAATGATTTATAAATGTATAAATGTGCAGAAGATTAATTTTATGATCTAAATTTGAATCTCTACCAATGGGTATTTAGAAATTTGATTAAGATTTACCATTTCTGGAAAGCTGTCAATATTAACAATGAATGATGTTATTTAATTCTAGGGGGAAATTTGCAGTGGTGAGGAAATGTATAAAGAAAGATTCTGGAAAAGAATTTGCAGCAAAGTTCATGAGAAAAAGAAGAAAAGGCCAAGATTGTCGGATGGAAATAATTCACGAGATTGCTGTACTTGAACTAGCACAGGACAATCCTTGGGTCATTAATTTACATGAAGTCTATGAGACGCCATCAGAAATGATCTTAGTTCTGGAATAGTAAGTACTGTTGTAACTTTATTTGATAGTTGAACCACTTTACAGGATGCCACTCACCTATGATAATGTGGCAGGGCCTGATTCTCCTTTTTTGTTCTTCTTACTAATTTGACATATTCCACAGGACATGTGTATGTTAGATTTCTCATTTTCATTCTTAATGAAATTCTTCTGATTACAGTATAACACTTTCTTGTATTCTCATTGGAGGCATTCTTAAAAAGGTAAGTGATAACATGACATTAAAATAAAAGGCATATTAAAACCTCTCACATGTTCATGTATCTGAATTAATATTCTCCTTTCTTTTAGAAACAAATGTCTTGACTCATACCATGTTTTCAGTTTGATTAAGTAGGTAGGTGCCAAACAGCCAGTATGTTTAGTAGAGCCTGTCACTAGCAGTTTGGCATTGGCTACTAACCTAAAGGTTGGCAATTTGAACCCAGTCAGTGGCTCCACTGAAGAAAGGCCTGGCTAGCTGCTTCTGTAAAGATTGTTGTTGTTATTGTCATTGAATCATTGAGTCATTTCTGATCCAAGGTGTTCAGGGTAGAAATGCTTCATAGATCTTTCTTGTCCTACATTCAAAAAAAACCCTATGGAGCAGTTGTACTCTGTGACACATGGGGTTACCATGAGTTGTGAGCTGGCTCATCGGCAGCTGACAACCGTAGCAAGTAGGTACAGCATAGAATACAGCTTTGGAAAATGAAAGATTGTCCTTTCTCATTAAGAAATCCATTTTCCCTCTCTGCTTCCCGTGCCAAAGGAAAATATTTATAGATTTGGATACACTAAAAACCTGAGTATGTAAAAAAAACACAAAATGAAGAGACAGACTCAGGGAAAAATACTCATTTAGGCAAATCTTTAGTATCATATGACTAGATCTTACAAATCTAGCAAAATCCTAAATCTCCCAGTTTTAAATAAAATAAAGATACGAAGAGAAATTTCACAGACACACATATAAATGCAAATGAATATTGAGTCTTATAATTTTTATAATACAAATAAAAAGTAAGTTGCCATTTCCCCCTGTAAGATTAGCAAAGACACAAAATAATTTTTATTGGTCGAACCATCTCATTTATACTATAAGAGGGGAATATTAATGCCTTTAACTTTTCTGGGGAGCAGTCTGGTCGTTATTGTTAGTTGCCATCAAGTCAGTTCTGACTCATGGTGACGCCATATGTACAAAGTAGAATTGTGTCATTGGGTTTTCTAGGCTATGACTTTGTGGAAGCAGATTGCCAGACCTGTCTTCCAAGGCACTTCTGAGTGGGTTCAGACTGCCAGCCTTTTGGTTATTAGTCAAGCACTTAACCATTTGCCCCAGTTTTCTGGAGAATAGTCTAGAGTGTGTTTCAAAAGCCTTACCAGGAAAAAAAAAATTACACTCTTTAACCAGCAATTTCACTTACATAAATTTTTTCTCAAGGAAATAATCAGGCAATTGTGCAAAAATGTGTTACAAAGATGTTCATTGTAGCATTATTTGTATAGCAAGGAAGTAGAAATCTAAATATTTAGCAGGAAGGTTGATTAAATAAGTGAGAGCATTATAAAATGGATTACTATGTAGCTGTTGGGAGCTCTGGTAGTGTAATGCCTAAGGCACTTGACTGCTAACTAGAAGGCTGGCACTCCTCAGAAGGAAGGTTGGGCAATCTGCTTCCGTAGTGATACTGCCTCGGAAACCCAAGGAGGGGTCACTATGAGTCGCGTCCGACTCTATGACACATACCAACATAACAACATGTAGCTATTAAAAAAAAGATAAGGTAGATCTAAATATATTGACATAGAAAGGTTTTTTTAAATACCATTACATAAAAGATGTTACAAAACAATGTGTGTTTTCTTTTGTTTTTATTTAAAACTTTTTGTATATTTATAGAAGTAAAACTTTGGACAACTGAAATATTAAGTATCTTTCTCTTGATAATATTCAGAAGCATGATGGATAATATTACTTAAGAGCATTGTATTCATATGTTTTTAATTCTATAATTTCATTTGTAGGAATTTCTTCTAAAAGAATAATAAAATGTGAGCAGTGAGAGGCACAGAAGTGTTTACCACAATGTTTTTTGTTGTGGTGGTGGTGGTGGTAGTGGTTTTTATTATTATTATTATTATTATAGTAGAAATATCAAAAAAAATTGTGGAATGGGTAAGAAATGTAGTGTATGTGAATTATATCTTAATAAAGTTTTTTGTTCCTTTCCTCCAAAAAATATTGGTTTCAGAATCTCATATATAAGCCTTCTGCCTACCTAGATTTTGTCTTATCCAGTTTGTTTTGTAGAGGATCAAGGTAGAATTAGAAATTGATTTATAAAGACCCTCTGAAATTCTCACACAACCTGCTCTTCAGCCTTTAATCCTTGGACTCTTCTCTGTTTGGTCTTTCAGCCAGCTCCTGACTTTATTTTCTTCCCTTTTATTCCTTCCTCTTTAATAATCATTGTAAGTGATCATCTCTCACCAGCACCACCTATTATTTCCCTGTCAGTCTGCCTTTGCAACTCCTTTTGCCAGTTTGAACCTCAGAATACATGTGTGTTCCTACTCCTGTATTGCTGTACATTGGAAGGATTTGCAAACTTTGGTCAGCTTCATTGTGACTCTAAGAGTTCTATCCTCAGCTAAACTCTTGGTGTAGTTTGGTAATTCTTAATCTCTTAGCACCTCCTTTTAACATTCGCCAGGAGCTCATCAAAACTTTTACCAACTCTTACCTTGTTGCCTACTCTCCACCTGACATCATATACCTAGCCTTTTCTCCCTTGGTGGAGAAAAAAGAGGTCACCAGGCATACTCCCTCAGCTTTTGTCCTGATCAATCTGTCTTTACTGGAGGAAGAGATTTCAGTACTCACTGCCAAAGCTCAAACCTTTATTTATGTTCTCTAATTCTCTTCTTTGTTCTTATAGCATCTATGCTTTGTTTTTTCAACCCATTATCTAGTTTCTTTTAGAGTTTCAGTCCCTTCTGATGTGGTTTTATCCCCTATGTTTTCCAGTATTTCATAGTCTTTTCTTTCCTAAAATTCATTTAAACTATTGTCTTGCTTTGTTCTTTCCTTTACTGCTATATTCCTTAAAAGATTTGTCTGAATTTACAGCTTTCCTCACCTTCTAATCAATTGTGGACTATTTCATTGAACCATTTATCTATTCATGTGCCATTACCCCAATTCATTTTCAATCAGCTGCCATCTGCTCTCTCAGACTTTATGAGGCTACCAGCCTCCTTGCCAAAATCAATAACCTCATTTTGGTAATCATTCTACTTCTTGCTCTCTTTAAGCACTTGAAATTAATACCACCTTGAAAATATGTTCTTTGACTTTTACAGCTCTATTTTTCAAAAATCTTTTCCACCTAATATCTCTATCCTCGTAATGTTTTAATCTTCCATTGTGTGTTGGCCAGAATTCCCTCAGTTCTAGTCTATACATTTATCCTGGATGTTAACAATCTGTTTTTTGTGGCTTCAGCTATTATTCATGCTTATTATTTCTAAAATTTTGTTTCAACCTTAGCTCTTTGCCTGAGCTCCAATTGTATTCTTCCGGCTGCCTACTAAATGTACTCATATGCATCACAGATAATTCAGTGTCAGTACGTGTGAAGTCCTACGTTGGGCTTCTAATGCATGTTTTTCTTTTGTTCGCCATTTCTGTTGGTACCCTTATTTATTTAATTACTCAAGCTAGAGACTTTGAGGGAGTTCTGGTAGCATAGTGCCTAAGGCACTTGACTGCTAACCAGAAGGCTGGGGTTCAAACCCACTAGCCACTCCTCGGAAGGAAGGTTGGGCAATCTACTTCTGTAGTGATACTGCCTCGGAAACCCGAGGAGGGGTCGCTATGAGTCAGGTCTGACTCCACAGCACATAACAACAACAACAAACTTTGAAGCAATCCTCGATTTTTGTTATTTCCTTTAACGTTCATATATAATGCATTAGCTGGCCTTCCACACTTTTCCTCTAAAACCTGTTGGTCCCCCACCCCTTTTTTTGTACCCTCTGTTTTTCCTCTGCATTGGGCCTTCATTCTCACTCTCCTAGTAGCTTCATAGCTGATCACTGTTATCCTGATGTTAGAAAGGTAACCAAAACATAGATGTGGTGCTATTCTTTGTTTATAAACCGATGGCTTTTTTTTTTTTGCTTTGATAAGCATGTTTTCAGAACCAAAAGTCAGTATGATTTGGCCAAAAAAATTTTGTTCTACTTTTAGTTTGAAAGGAGCTCTGGTGGCGTAATGGTGGATAAGACTGTTGTTGTTAAGTGCCATCGAGTCAGACCCAACTCATAGCGACCCGTCCTTGGGTTTCTGAGGCAGTATCACTACGAAAATAGATTGCCCAACCTTCCATCCGGGGAGCGGCTAGTGGATAAGGCATTTGGCTGCTAACCAGAAGGTCAGTGGTTCAAACCCACCAGCCACTCCATGGAAGGAGGATGGGCCAATCCATTTCTGTAAAGATTTATAGCCTCACAAACCCAGTGGGGGTCACTATGAGTTGGAATCAACTTGATGGCAACGACTTTGGATTAGTTTACCTTTAGTTTGAAGGGGAAATCTTAGAGATACTCTTTGAACACTTAAATATCCAAAATTCTCAACCACATCAATAGATTGTTGTTAAAGAAACATGCAGGATATTACCACTGAATCAGTTACTTATTCCACATTACTTAAACATCTGCCATGTGCACTAAATACAAAAATGTGCTGGTAATATAAAAGTGAAAATAACAGTCCCTGCCTTCCAGTTTAAAAATTTAATAGAATAAATTGATATAAATGATCATAGCAGTGTTTGTTTGTTCATTTGTTTTAACTAGAAATTCTTGTTAGCTGCTGTGGGAACATAGAGGAAGTATAAGAGTCTTAATGTATTATGTATTTACTGTGTGCCAGGCACTATGCTTATTGCTTTATATACAGGTAGTCCCTGACTTACGAAATACTGGAG